ACATATATATATATATATATATATGTACATATATACATATATATATATATATGTACATATATACATATATATATATATGTACATATATACATATATATATATATGTACATATATACAAATATATATATATATGTACATATATACATATATATATATATATATGTACATATAGCATATATATATATATATATATATGTACATATATACATATATATATATATATATATGTACATATATATATAACAATATTTCCTACCTGGCCTCGACCCTAAGGTCACTCATGGTAAGAGACCGGGAGGCCCAGTCCGAAACCAACCCATGCCATGCGACCCACTAAAGAAGAATGGAGATAGTCAGATAGCAGTAAAGATAGCGAGGACACCAGTAGGCATAGAGAGACGGACACTGGAGCTAGATAGAGATATATAGACGTACACGGAGGAGATAGATATATCGTACACGTAGAGAGAGAGAGAGAGACGGACACGGAGAGAGAGAGAAGAGAGAGGAGAGAGAGAGCGGAGAGAGAGAGCGAGAGGGACACGGAGAGAGAGACGAGAAGAGAGACGGACACGGACGAGAGAGAGACGAGAGAGAGGAGAGAGAGAGAGGAGAGAGGAGAGAGAGAGGACGGACACGGATAAGAGAGATAGAGACGGACAGCGGAGAGAGAGAGTAGATATGGAGAGAGGAGACGGACACGGAGAGAGAAGAGAGAGAGAGACGGACACGGAGAGCAGAGGAAGAGAGACGGCACGGAGGAGAGAGAGGAGAGAGAGAGAGAGAGGAGAGAGGGACCCGGAAACGGAGAGAGAGAGCGCGACGGGACAGGATGAGAGCGAGAGAGAGAGAGAGAGAGAGGAGACGTAAAAGGAGGAGAGAGAGAGACGGACACGAGAGAAGCGAGAGGACGGGACCGGGGAGATGAGAGAGAGGGACGGACACGGGGCGAGAGGAGGGAGAGACGGACACGGAGAGAGAGAGAGACGGACACGGAAGAGAGAATGACGGGGACACGGGAGTAGAGGAGAGTCGGATCACGGCGAGAGAGAAAGAGAGAGAGAGCGAGAGAGAGAGAGATGGACAGAGAACAGCGAGAGAGAGAGAGAGAGAGGAGTAGAGAGAGGGACCTAGAGGAAAGGAGAGAGAGAGGGACAGGAGGACAGAGAGGATGAGAGAGGAGGGACAGAGAGAAAGAAGAGATGTACGAGAGGAGGGAAATCGATACCAGAGAGATAGAGAGAGAGGGTACAGAGGACAGATAGATAGATGAGAGGGCAGAGATACGAGAGTGAAGAGAGAGAGACAGAGAGACATGAGAGAAAGGAGAGGCATAGAGACATGAGATAGAGAGAGCGAGAGTAGAGGGACAGAGAGACAGAGAGAGAAATAGGAGGACAGAGATGACGAGAGAAGAGACAGATAGATGTACCGGGAGACGATGGAAGCGAGCGATTAGAGAGCGAAGAGAAGTAGAGATGAGGGACAGAGAGAAGAGAGAGAGAGAGAGAGGGACAGAGCGACATGAGACGAGAGAGAGAGAGAGAGGGGACATAGAGATCGAGGAGAGAGAGAGAGAGAGAGAGAGAGGAGAGAGAGGATGGGACAGAGAGAAAGAGTAGAAGAGAGGGACAGAGGACAGCGCGCGAGAGAGAGAGAGGAGAGAGAAGAGAGAGAGAGAGCGCGGACAAGAGAGAGAGAGAGATGAGAGAGAGAGAGAGAGGGAAGCGAGAGAGTTGGAGAGAGAGAGAGGAGAGAGAGAGATGAGGGACAGAGAGACAGAGAGAGAGAAGAGAGGGAAAGAGAGGAGCAGAGAGAGAGAGAGAGGGAAGAAGAGACTAGAGAGAGAGATAGGGACAGAGAGCGCGATGATGAGAGAGATAGAGAGAGGAGGGAGAGAGAGAGATGGACATAGAGACAGGAGAGAGAAGACAGAGAGATAGGCGAATGCGATGAGCAGAGAGAGAGAGAGAAGAGGGACAGAGGATAGTAGAGAGAGAGAAGCGAGAGAGAGAGATAGAGGGACATCGAGACAGAGCGGAGCGACATAGCGAGAGGAGAGGACAGAGAGACATGAGAGGAGACAGGGAGAGAGAGAGAGAAGAGGAGACAGAGAATGAGAGACAGAGAGAGGAGAGGAGAGAAGAGAAGAGAGAGACAGATAGAGAGAGAGAGACAGAGAGAAGAGAGGAGAGAGAGACAGGTAGAGAGAAGAGAGACATAGATAGAGAGAGAGACAGAGAGAGAGAGAGCGATAAGAAGAGAGATAGAGAGAGAGATTGAGAGAGAGACAGAGTAGAGATATATAGAGCGAGAGAGAGAGAGACAGAGAGACAGAGAGAGACAGAGAGACAGAGAGACGTAGAGAGGGATAGAGGGCAGAGGAGGAGGATGAGAGGGACAGAGAGTGGAGAGAGGGACAGAGGAGAGGGATCGAGGGAAGAGAGAGAGAGATAGAGAGAGAGAGAGACACAGACGATATGAGAGAGAGAGAAGAGAGACAACAGAGGAGAGAGAGAGAGATAGAGAGAGAGAGAGAGAGAGAGGACACACAGAGGAGAGAGAGAGAGAGAGACACCGAGCGAGGAGAGCGAGAGAGAGAAGAGAGATAGACACCGAAGAGAGATATAGTCGAGAAGAGGAGAGCACCAAGAGAGGAGAGATCGAGAGGAGGACACGAGCAAGAGAGAGAGAGAGAGGAGAGAGAGGGAGAGACACAGAGAGAGATAGAGAGATAGGAGAGAGAGAGAGGACACAGGCGAGATATGATAGTATAAGAGGTATAGAGACAATCGAGCGCGAGAGAGAGAGAGCGACACAGATAGAGAGAAGAGAGATGAGAGAGATTATAACAGAGATATAAGAGAGATAGTAGGAGAGAGATAGAAGAGATACCACATCTATAGAGAGCTAGCTATAGACACATAGTATTAGCGAGAGACACACAGAGAGAGAGAGAGAGAAGAGACAACAGAGAAGAGAGAGTATATATACACACCTAGATATATATATCGAGAGATACACACGAGATATATCATATAGTATACAAACCTATATAGGATAGATAGATAATACACATATATCTAGATAGTAGATGGATACCCATATAGAGATAGAGTATTATAAGTACATATATATAGAGATATAGATATACACATAGACGTAGATAGAGAGATATATACACAGAGATTATATATGATATAGATATACACTATATTATATTAATATATTACACATATATATATATATATATAGACTATATATATATAGATATCTACATATATATATATATATATATACATATATAATATATATATACATATATATATATATATAATATTAATTATACATATATTATATATATATATATATATACATATATATATATCTCCTGTACATATATATAGAGATATATATATATACATATATTCTATATACATAGACTACCTATATAGTCATATACATATAATATATATATATATATATATATCTATATAGATCTAGTATACTTATACATATATATATTATACATATCTATATATATATACACTGTACCCTGATATATAGATATACTATATATATATATTAGTATACTATATAATATATAATATACTAATATATATATATATTACAATACATATAATTACATTATATATATATATATATATACATATATAGATATTAGATTAGATATCCATATTATAGATATACATATATAAATATATATATATAATATATATATAAATATATATACATATCTATATTATATAGACATATTATAGATAGACATTATATATATATATATAACTATACATATAGACATATATATATATATTACATTAGATTATATATACCAGATTATTATATATATACATTATATATATCTACATAATATATAATATATATATAATATCTATAGTATATTACATATATATATAGATTACAGATCTATAACAGACATATATAATATATATATATAATATATATATATATATTTACATATATCTATATATATACATATATTATATATCTAGATATACATATTATCTAAAAGATACATATATCTATATATAGTAATCTAGATATATATATTATACATATATATATTATACTTGATACATCTTATATATATATATACCTATATTTATATATACATATATATAGCTATATACAATATATATATATTAAGATATATATTTCTACTATATATATATATATATATATACATTATATAGATAATATTATATATATAATATATATATATATTATAGATATATAATATAATATATATATATATACATATATATATATATACATATATAGATATATAATATATATATATATACATATATATATATATACATATA